GGGCCCGCGCCCTACAACGGAAGTCGGGATAGCGGAAGCCACAACCTCGGATCGACCAGTCAACTATCCACTGCAACAAGACCAGTCGAGTTTCCTGGTGATAAAGAACCTCACCTCAACCAGAACCAGCCCGGCGAGGAATGGCAGACCGTCGGACAGGCGTCGCATACCGTCATGCCCTTGTTGGAGGGGGACTGGCTATCCACTCCTAGCGATGATAGGATAGTCGGAGAGCTATCCCGTTTTCCGCTGGCATCATCTTTCAGAAGCGAAGAGACTTCCTCTCAACTACATACCACCTGCATCCCCTTCCCAGAATGCCTTGGTACTGTCTTTACGCCAACAACAAGGAATGATGCTCTCCTTGAGGGCTACTCCAGTTCTTTCCATACCAACGGCACGGACCAGTCTGGCATGTTCTTCGGAGCGCAAAGTCTCGAAGAGCAGTTGCAGGCACTGTGCAGAACGGATCCGGGGCAGCACGAATCGTTTCTCGAATGCACGACTCCTGTTTCACCATGTCAGCAACACGGCACTAGCAAGCCGATCCTGTCAGGACTTGAAGGAGCTACAGGCGGTTGCCCGAGTGATTCATACGCGCAACCGACGATGCCTTGGGAGCCAATGACTCTTCTCTCGGAAGCAAATCTCCTCACCAGCGCTGCGCCGGACACCTGCTGCCCTGCCGATCCCACAGTGGTACCGCCAGACCCCGAGGCAGACCTGGCGAATACGGCCGTCCCAACGACAGAGACCGGTGACACGGAGACAGCATCCACGTGTGTCAGCGCCGACGCCGAGGAGCGGGACAACCTGAGCCAGCCACGGCAGGGTGACACGGGCGCTGATTTCTCGGCAACGGAGACCGCTACGAAGCGCAAAAGACCGAGCGACAGGGACGATCCGTTCCCCAAGCGCCGAAAGGTTCTATTCGAGGCAGTCGAGGTCAAGCTGACTGTGGATGCGCCATCCTACCTCTTGGGTGCGGATCACTGCTCTTGGGTGCACGAGACGACGGGGAAAAGCTCTGTAGTAGCGTTCAATGATCTGCAAGAGACTTCGCGGGTGAAAGTGCGCGTGCTCGACGTGCAGTCAGACCGAAAGGGTCAAACCATCTGGTTGCAGCCCGACAACGGAATGAGACAGTGGAAGTGGCGAGGTACGGGTGAGGGAGGCAGGTCGTTGGGTGTAGCCAAAGTCACCCTTAGTTGCCTAGTGCAGACACCAGGTAGGGGTCCGTTTGAGGGTACCTATCTTTCGTAGAAAAGTGGCTATCTTATTGTGTTCACAGAAAGAATTGTTACACACCGTTTGAAACGCCTTGCAAACAAGTCCTCGACGCCTAGGGAACAGTCCACGTTCTTTGCTCTAAGCTTGCCCTGACACCTTCTACGCCAAGCTGCTATAAAGCGGACAGTACAGCTCGAGGTGCGTATCGTATTGTACCGTGGGGCGTAAGCACAAGCCCCTTGGGCCTAGGAGAGGGTGGCGCACGGAGGGGATATATGTCAGAGGTCTCG